GATGATGATGATGATGATGATAATGGCGATGATGATGATGAGGAGGAGGAGGAGGAGGAGGAGGATGAGGTTGTTTTTATTGGGGGGGGGGGGCGGAGGTCAATTTTTTTTCACCCTGCTAAACACAAAACAGGGAAAGAGCAAATTAAAAAAATGATTTCTCAGATTTAGAGTAAACCTTGGAATAGCCCACCAATTTGGAAATACTTTACCAACTACTTGCAATTTGGCCCCGGTTTTTAAAAAGAACGGAATAAAAACAATAATTCAAGTATCTCAGTTTAATATTTTCAGGTCTTTTCACGTGGGTCAAAAAGTCGGATGACAAATAGAACAACGAAAAAACCTGTTACTGTTATTGAAGGCCACTGCAAAAAATAAGATCCCGACAATGTTTTTCTTTGATGTTCGCTTAAAATTGGTCTGAAAAATGTAAGATGATTTTTCACTACAGTGTATACACCTATAAAGATATACATTTTCATCAACGCCACACTTTACTTTACTGTACGCCTTTGGATACACGATTGATCCAATAGACGCGTAAATACATGTACGTTTCAAGACGCAAGCGGTGATGTCTAGACGGCTTTTTATTGTATTTTATTTTATTACTTTTTGGGGGGGGGGGGAGTTAACGTTGTCATACTGAAACGTTGAGGTAGGGCGGTGTCGCTGCCTCATCATCAGCGATGTGTAGGAAAATTTACTGTAAATTATATATTGCTGTGAATCTATGTATTATGCCCTCAAGTCAAAGGGTAGTGTTTGATATAGGGCCCAAATATACGAGCCCCCCCCCCCCCCCCAAAAAAAAAAAATAAATAAATAAATAAATAAATAAAAATAATAATAATAATAATAAATAGTTTGAGTAAAGAGAAGCACATCGACACAATGATGGTCATTTAGTGCAGGGAAGAAAGAAAGACAGAAAGACAAATGATGGTCATTTAATGCAGGGGAGAAAGTAAGATAGAAAGACAAATGATGGTCATTTAATGCAGGGAAGAAAGTAAGATAGAAAGACAAATAATGGTCATTTAGTGCAGGGAAGAAAGTAAGACAGAAAGACAAATGATGGTCATTTAGTGCAGGGAAGAAAGAAAGACAGAAAGACAAATGATGGTCATTTAATGCAGGGAAGAAAGTAAGATAGAAAGACAAATGATGGTCATTTAGTGCAGGGAAGAAAGTAAGACAGAAAGACAAATGATGGCCATTTAATGCAGGGAAGAAAGAAAGACAGAAAGACAAATGATGGTCATTTAATGCAGGGGAGAGAGTAAGATAGAAAGACAAATTATGGTCATTTATTGCAGGGAAGAAAGTAAGATAGAAAGACAAATGATGGTCATTTAGAGCAGGGAAGAAAGAAAGACAGAAACAACAAAGGGAAAGTGAAGAAGTAGACATCCCCCAACCACCCGTGTGTAGTAGCCTGTATGATGATAAGCGGCAAATGTGTAATGTTCCATGGTGCATTGCACGGCCATCGACGGTCCCTTGGAATAGAGTCGACAATGTTTGCTGCGGGAGAAAAATACGACCAACCACATCAGCGTGGGTTGTGTTTGTTCTGCAAACGACTTCATTTAATCCACGTTTGCATGTTTTAGATTTTCGGTAAATACGAGCTCGTATTTTGTTGATTCTCTTTAAAAATTAAAAAAAGGGAGCAATTCTTCTCTATAGCCTACGTTGAGCCCGAGTTCGTTTTGAATTCCAGTTTGTTTTCCGGCTCCATCCATGTAAGTTAGATCATTTAGAAAATGGACTGCATGAGACATTTTTGTGTGCGTGTGTGTGTGCTGAGGTCAGATGCGCACGCGAGCGCGCGCGCGTGTGTGTGTGCGTGTATGTGTGTGCCTGTGCCTCAACCCGGGCACAGTTCAAAACTCAATGCTATCAAACTGAAAAATGTTTATTACTGTGTCCAGCGCGCTCATAATTATGACCTTACGCAGTTGCAGGGTTTAAAATTATTTTTTTTAAATCTCACATTCAGAAGAAAAAAAAAATTTAAAAATCTCACATTCAGCGTATCGAGTGCAAGTAACGCAGATGACCACAAGAACTAAGATCATGTATTCTGGTTGGAAACTTGTCGCTGATTTACATCATCCTGTAGTGCAATGTCAAAGAGGAAATCTAAATAGGGTTATTTTGAGGAACTTTCTAGAGCAGCCAGAGTCAGGAGAAATCGCGCCCAACTTTATGTTCATTTGAACAGGTGCTTTTTCCACATCTAAAATCATACCGCAACACACAAGCTGACATCAGAACTGCTTATAATATAATAATTCCTGCCCAGAGCTGGTGAGACGAAGATGAAAGAACAGGCCATTGCTGTTTTGTTGGGGTTTTCTTTCACCACACATACACAAAATATGCACGGCAGCGTGGTGAAATCAGGCACCTGTCAAAATATAATGGAATCGGAGAAACTGATATTTTTCTGCTTGTTTTGCATTTTTTATCAATTTGTTTTGGTAACCAATTTGTGCGTGGATTTTACTTATTTAAAAAAAAAAAAAGAAGAGAAAAATAAAACGATCAAAGGCAGACAAAAATGTAAATTTTCAGTTCCTAAGAGTTTCTAAAACACTTTAGCTTAGCCAGCCATTTTCTTACTAATTTTACCTCTGACACCACATGACACCCACCTCCTTCAATCGTAAATATCTCGACTTCTTTTCAAGACAAACGAGTATTGTTTCATCTAAAGGAAGGAAATTGAACAGGCTTTAAGATAATACCAATAACTCCATATATGTCTGAAAATTAGTGAATACCTGATTCCACTGCATTGTGACACAAATAAAGTGTGTGTGCGTGTGTATGTGAGTGTCTGTGTGTGTGTGTGTGTGTGTGTGTGTGTGTGTGTGTGTGTGTGCGTGCGTGTGTGTGAGTGTTAAAGTCAGAAAACGAAAACTTAAGTGTTAACTAGACTAAGGGAGAACAACACGACCAAATTATAACTGATAGGATGGGTCAGGATAGTTTATTAATCAACAACGTTATTATTATTAAGAAGTCATTTACTGAACATTCCCTTCTGTCGAAATCACAAATATCAGCAACAAAGTTGATGAATAATACTCGGAGACACTTTTGTCCTTAAAAAATATTGATCACTTAAAATTTTTAGTAAACATTAGTAGGGCGGTAACAGAAGCCCAAACAAGAGACTCAAGCATTTTCTGTATGGATCAGGAAAAGGGTGGTATTTTCCACACGGCCTACTCCTACTCCATAAAGAAAAAAAAAAGATTAAGATACCGACCAAGAACGTAAAATATGACGCATCGCGGTGAAATCAGGCACTCGTCAAAATATAGAAATCAAAGAAACCAACGTGGATTTTACTGAAAAATGTTGATCAAAGGCACAAGAATGGTAAATCTGCAGTTTTCAAGGACAACCAAGCTTTGAGAGTAACCAAACATTAGAGGACATTTTTTTCTCTCGCTAATTCTACCTCTAATGCCAAATGATCCCCATCTCTTCTATCTCGACTACTATTTAATATGGGGGGGGGGAAGACAAGACAAAATAAACAAACTTTAGGCTGATACCACCTCAATATGCTAAAAATCGAAGAGCGCTTGACTCCACTGCGTTGTGACACATATATTTACATTGAGTACATTATAAAGAACACTCTTCCGGAAAACCCTATTAAAACTAAAATCATCGAAACTTGACAGGCAATCGTTAATTTTTTTTAAAGAGTATCAAGCAATATAACCAATACTTTCTTCAGTTACAAACAAACACAAATTGTATCATAAAACATCAGAGAAGTAAAAGTCTTAATTTGTTTGTCCCAAATGGCCAATGGCAGATGATTTATTCAAACATCACTTCAGGGAAAAGTGACAGTAACATGTATAAGCACTGTGGAACATGTAGATGTAATTAGAACAAAAATTAATTTTTTAAAAACAGAGTGTGACTAACACATTCCAATAAAATACACTGACTCCTTCATAGAAATGGCACCATAAAATCACACAACAATCATAGCTCAAACTCTACTTTCAATCACCTAAGCATGTCACTTACGATACAACTACGGACACAAAGGTAAACAAACATAGCCACCATAGCACCAAAAGATCGCAAAAAGGGAGTGAGAACAAGAAATCTATTCCTCAAACCTATATAATAGTATATATATATATAGAGAGAATATATTGAAAGGAAAAGGCAGTAAAATTCAGTCCCAAAACTGAAACACCCCTGCCACACTAAATCTTAACCACAATTAGCCATTTTATCAACACGTGTTGCATATACACTCTCTCCATTTCCATAAAACCTAAGGTAGAACAGGACAGGTTTAAAGAAAACAAACATCACTGAGGTAAAAAAAAAGAAGTTTGAAACTCAGATTAGCGGGGGGGTGGGGGGGGGGGGGTTGAAGTTGAAAAACAACTGAACAAATTAATCAAACAAAAATCCCTCGGCTGACAAATAATTCATTTTGGAACTACCCCTCCCATCCTCCCAAAGTTAAGGAAATACATTTTAAGAGAGCAACAACAACTTAATATCCAATATCCAAGCCTTCCCCCCCCCCCCCCCCCAAAAAAAGGGAAGCACACACTCAAATTACTTCTTCACAGGCAACAATAAAATGCCAAATATAAGAGGAATGCTAACCATACCTTTATAATAGAATCTGAACACAATGCGCACAAATGAACTTGAATATTGGATTAATCAGCATGGATTAAAAACTCGGAGCAGCAGTGATTGGTCACATAAATCAGTCTAAAATATGGTACATGACATATCAAAGAGCTTCTGAAGTACATCAGGGTTTACTATGTCTTTTGCATGATAAAATGCAACTTACTAAAAATGTAAACACCGATACAAGGGTGAAAAAATGGAGCATTTCCATCATGTGTATATCATCTGCTCACTTTCTGTTCAGTGGAAGTAATGACATCAACAGCATTACAAGCCCATCCACGGGCAGTTTTTTTCACCAAGTACTCCCTAAAAAAGCATAATTTACAGTTTAAAGATAGAAAGAATAAATAAAAGGAATTACTGACAATCCCTTTCCTTGTTTGTTCAAAATGAGGTTGGGATCAGGAAGAACTCTAGCCCCTTACACAGGAGAAGAACAAATATCACACCTAATGTGGCTCATTTCGATGACTTGCACCTGATGTATTGTAAAACACAAAGTATTTACGACGAGTCATTTCTTCTTTTGGTGGTTATTAATTACTAAATTCAGGCATCTTTCTGCTTCACTCCAAGGGGAACAAAAATAACAAAGCAAGAAAGATGTAACAACTACGAGAGTGTACAGTATGTTTGCAATACATTTTTATGTCTTTGTGATAGTCTGTGAATAGCACCATGTTCAAAAACCTCACAACAACCTGTTTTTTTCAGTGAAACATAAGGTGAACCAGTTGCTTTTGGTTACAAGTATCTTTTTTGCACATTCTGAAACCAAACTGATGTGCAATTTGATTTCTGTAGGTACTCACTACCTCTCAGCTTCAGAACTAGATCTGACACCAGTATGTCACACAACAGAAATTTTGACTATTCGAAAGAATAAATGCAATGGAATACCACAGTAACCTTCCATGATACAAGAAAATGTTAAAATTCAACATTTATGGGATGGTGGAGTAACTGCGGAAAATTGTGCGTATTCACTCTGGCTGATGTTGATATGTTTTCCTTACTTGTACATCGACCAGGCTTCCACTAACGGCTTCATCTTGCCATTCAGAGTTTATACCTGTATATCAAACACGAGCCTTCCCCCACCCCCCATTCCCAGGAACACAGTAAAGAACATCAATCTCATGAAAACTTGATAAATCTTCTATTTGGATGGGTCAATGATAAGGTTCCCGGTAGTTCCCGTGTTGTTAATGACGTCGTTCTGAGCAGTTTGAGCCTCCGCCAGTGGGTAGACTTTGGCCACTTTGGGAGTGATCCAACCCCCGTGCTGACCCGCACCAATCGCTGCATGCATTTGCTGCCACTCTTCCTGTAGAGGGGTGAAAGAAAAGAAAAATCACATTACTTTTTACTGCTTAGAGTGGACATTTCTAGGGAATGAGAAGCTAGTAAGCATATCGTAACGTCTTCTAGATGTTTAAAATATGATACGATAATACTTTATTATCCCAGAAGGAAATTTTTCTTGGCTGTACTGGACCGTAAAAACACATGCAGGTTGAGGTATACATAAAAATTATAATTATATATTACCCTCATTAAAACTTAATATGAAAAGAAAAGTAAAGCTGACAAATGTACATATCACATCAAATGCATCATTCAACTTCATTCAGGATTTTAATTACCAGCATGAAAAAAACAAAAACAAAAGGTGTTTTTAAAAGAAACCTAAAACAGGTCCGTAACTTAAGTTTTAGTCAACACAAATTGGTTGTACACGTGTTAAAGATTAGAGGCATTCCTAGAGAGTAACATAAAAAGAAAAGTAAGGGGAGAGATAAAGACAATAAGAGTTTGATCGGAAAGAAGGAGCAAAGCATATCAGAGCATCCACCACACACCGATCAGTAAAGGTGAGAGAAAGAAATAGAGCTGTAACTTTGAAAAAGATCGATGATGTTGCAGTTGCAGATGGTTCTGCCCCATTTAACACATTTAAGATCATTTCTAATTGATTTGTTCAATAATAAGCATCAACAATTAGAATTGAGTTTTGGATGAGATGAAGAGAAATGCACTGGCACAACAACTCCCATACAGTGTTTGTTTTAGTAGAGGTTTTACGGTGCCCGCAACTGCATAAGGTCATATGAGCGCCAGAAGATTAGAGGTGTTGCAAGAGAGTAACAAACATAAAAAAGAAGGAGGGGAGATAAGGACGACAGATGTTTGATAGGAAAGTTCTAAGCAAACCACACTAGAGCACCCGTCAACCACTACACGCCGGGGTCAGATAAAGAAAATGTGAAAGACTTTCCCTTACAACAACACAAATATAAATTGGGGGGGGGGGGGGTGGAAGATGAACAACAACAAAAGTTAGAGACAGAAATTAAAAGGTAAATTTTATACAGGGACAGCACGGGAAAAAAATACCGTTAAAAAATAGCAAAAATAAGATGAAAATGTTCGTTGATGTACATACTGGGCTGGAGGCCATCAGAGCCACACCCATGATAGAAGTCTCCTTCCCCATGGTCAGCCGAGGGTTGATCTCTATGCTACCTCTGCAGCCAATGACCTGTCAGGACAAACACGAAAACATGATCAAGAACAATTATAAAATCAATACAGTTGAGCCTGATTTAACGGCCACCTGTCCAAGACAGTCGCCTGTCCAACCACTTCCCACTTTGTGATGTTGTCTGCATTATAATGACACTTTCCAGGACATTTACCAGTCTAAGACAACCACTTTTCTCCTCGACCATGGGTGGCTGTCTAAGACAACTTTGACTCAAGAAACTTAGGTCAAATAAGTGCATCTGAAAATAAACAAAGAAGAGTTCACAGAGGACACATAAACAATGTCTTTCACCTATGAAAACAACCATAAGTAAAACAAATTGTGAACATGTTCAAAAAGCTAGATATGTCCATGTATTTTAACTCTTTTTTATCCGGGCTACGAGTATACTCGGAACAGCTATACGGTAACATCAAACAGCTAGTTCGGCTTGTAACTACCAACATATGCAAATGCGGCTAGGCTAGCTCTGTCTGAATATTTCAATTTTACAATGAACAGTGGTTTCTTTGTTTTTGATGGGTGTAGAAGCTTGAGAAATGTCTTGAAAACGCCTGTTCACGACCGACGAAGTACTTCAAGAAGTAGCACTAGGTAGTGAGAGGGAATTAGACTAATTTGATGAAAGTGACTCTGAATCAAGTGCCATAAATTCCATTGTGGATGGTAACGAACAGGAATTAGACTCATTAGACTAATGATTTAGATCATGGTAAAGGGATGGGTAATGGAATTCGTGCACCACCGATGGGTAAGGGTAGATCAATAAATCCAAAGAGATGTCGTGGTTGCGACAATCAGGGTCAAGTTGAAGGGTGGAATACACCTAAAAAATCTACATGTGCAATTGATGTAATTCCAAATCGAATACATTTTCAGGTACTAGATATCTACATTCAATTTCTAACATAACTGCCAAATTTCCTTAAAATCTAAGAGTAAATGTAAGAAATACAGCACTTTCAAATATACACCCTGAATTCCAACTCATATGCCGCGGCGGCCCCAGGTCGGGTACAGAGTCCGTGGGGTACGGCCAGGATAAAAAGAGTTAACAGACGCCTTATCAATATTAGAAAAAATATTACTGGAATGGCATGAACATGACCATCTTTGACATTCCAATTCATTCTTTTCACATCACTAATTTCCAAGTAAGTCCTAATGACATTTCACGATATTCTAACCTCTTAACAATTTTCCCATAGATGGGCACAACCAAAGCTGATAAAATACTCACAACAACTCGACCCCTGAACTTGAGCAAAGTGAGGTCATTTTGCAAGTTGACATTGGCCAACATCTCAAGGACAACGTCCACTCCCTGGCCTCCAGTTGCACTCTGTTGGAAGGGGGTATAGGTTATGCAGACACATTAGTAAAGGCTGTTGCAACAAAAAATGTAAAACACATCACATGCACGAATTTCGGAAACCTATTCCCACTTTGATCTTTTTACTCTCGTGCACACTTTTGCCACCTTTAAGAGACTCAAATTTTCTTAAAGCCGCCCACATGTATGTCCAAGCGCAGCATTGTATAAATAATAAGTGTCACCTCTCAGGCGTCCTTATCCCCTTCTAAATCACCAGACTGCTCACTTGTGGGCGATAATGCCCACGTTGGCAAGCACTGCACTAGGCTAATACACTGCACATAATATTTTGCTGATTCTTATGTTGTTGGAGATGCTTATGGTGTTAATGTAACAGCCATGGGACCCTCCACTCTTTGACCCAGCGAAATACACAACAGAGCAGATGTCTTCATAAGCTGTTCCCTATTGCAGGGTACAAGATTGCATATGCTAGGGGTGGGAGGATGAAGTTAATGCAGAAAATCCAGCAGACTGGAGCATCAAAAGACAAGGAGTAGGGAAGTTTTGTAACAGGAATCTCAAAGCTCACACAACCGTTGATTTTCTCTAAAGATCCTGTTGAGATGACTCATCCAGGACAATTTAAGCCAAAGATAAGAAAAACAGTTTTAACCAATATTTATGAGAGCTGTGGAGATATTCCACTGTTCACTCTTTGTCTCGTCTGTCAAGGCGTTTATGAGTGTCGGTTGGTGTGTTGTGTAGCTGTGCTGAGTCTAATATCTGTTAACCTGTGCATTATCATCAGTTTCTGTTTATCATTCTAACTGGATAGACGTTTTTATCTTTAATAAAGCCAAGCTTTGGAGTATGGCTCGTTCATCTTACTTTATAACTCAGAACTGACCACAGGTACAGCAGCAAGAAAACAAAGCAAAAGAAACTATTTCAAAAAAAATAATTTAATAAATTGCTAAAATACAATGGGCCTATATAAAGAAGTTAAACGACACAGTATACGATGATGTCATACCATGATGCTTTCCAAGTACCCCGGCTCTCTGTGGTTGAAGACGGCGTCCGCTCCCAGCCCTCTGACCAGATCTACACCTTCTTTGGTACCTGCAGTACCATAGACAGTCAGGCCAAGGGCTTTACCCAGCTGGATGGCCGCATTGCCAACCTGTGGGTGTACAAACATTCCAAGACAATGATAATACAGGATATTTACACTCCTACTTCACAGCTTCGTTTTGCAAAACTTATCAATCACAACAGCATTTCTTTTCTCTTACTCTTAACCCATTTTCTTACTCTTAACCCATTTTCTTCCTCAAAGCTACACTTCTGGTTCCCTTTGCCCATCCTGAGACCACACAGAATGTCTTTTATCAAAAAGTATATGATTCTCCTCTTTTTTCTGAGTGTCACATGTAATAATATTTTGCAAACACAGGACTTTAGATCTCATAAAACTGACTTTATTCTGATATTATGAGCAATGGAAAGTTAGATAGATAGGTAGATGAATGGACAAATGGAAATACATATAGATGGATGGACAGACAGCAAGACACACATATAGACACATAGATGGATGGATGGATGGATGTACGGACGGACGGACAGATAGATAAATAGATAAAACATAGATAAATAGATAGACAAATAAATGAACCCCCAGGCATCCAATTCATCACTCACCGCTCCACTGGCACCATGGATAAGAACAGACTCTCCCGCTTTTGCCTGAGCCCTGCAAAACAAAAAACAAAAATATATTATACTGTAAGTTACAGAATATAGTATGAAGAGAAACGTTTTACTGAACGAAGTAAAAATAAAGAGCCACATGTTACAAAAAATATGCAATTAAAGCAAAGGGCCGTCACTAGCTTACCCTATGCACCTCTCTCCGCGAGGCACATCACCATTCTTCAAAGTCACAAAGATATGAACTATTTACCAGATACTTGGCGCAAGATATCCAAGAAACACAGAAAAAAAAAGCCTTTTATCACTAACATCCAGGTTTCAGATTCCCATTTTTTAAAAAGCACACATGAACTGGTAGCACAAAAAAAGAAAAAAGTAATTCGGCTGGCAGAAACCATTGTAGAGGTGAACAAACGTAGAGAAAACTGACCAAAAAATATTTTTAAAAGCTGTGAGTGAATGAAAGTTTGGGAAATTAAATCCACAGACATACAAAAAGGATACGGTTTAAGAAGCGCACCCATAAAGAGCAAGCATAAATCACCTGAAGAACAGCGCCTTGTACGCTGTGTAATACGGCACACCGAGAGAAGCACCCTCTGGGAAGGAGAGTCGATCGTCTAAATGAGAGACGTACTGTGCGTTGGCCGTTGTGTACTCCGCATATGTTCCACTCACTGTCAGCATGGTCAATACACGATCGCCCACCTAGGAAAAAAAAATTATTTTCGTTTTTAAATTGGATCTCAGACAAGATACATTATAAATGAGTAGAATGCAAAGTGGCCGACCTTGGAAAAGCTTAAAATTATTACTATTATTATTATTAATATTTTTTTAAAAGATGAGAGACCTAAACACTGTTCATTTCTGTCCCTCTATGTCCAGTATCTTGTGGAACTTCAGAGCTCTTTCAGCTCATTCATTTCGTTTCTGGAGTAAAACTACATTTACAAAAACCATGTTAAAAAATTAACCTCCTAGATTAAACTCTCGAAACATTTATTGTGTAATTGCCAGTTTGCATTGATATGCTCATGTTGCTCAAAGCCTCCTCTTTGTATTAGTTGAAAGGGAGAAAATATGTACTGTTAGGTCACACACGGACAGACACTTTCAGAAAAACATATCATACATAATAATATATATAGACAGACACCTCCCTCCCCCAACAACAACAAAATAAATAGCATAATACATCGCTTTTCAATATACAGCTATAAAATCTAAATGAGGTAAGGATCAGGAAGGAAGAACTCCAGTCCCTCATACAGGAGAAGAACAAATATCACACCAAATGTGGCTCATTTCATGTGGCATACTACTTTTCATTATACAGCTATAAAATCTCAGCCCCCTCCCC